AGGGCTTTTCTCATGAAACAGCATTCAATTTACGAAAGGTCCCAAGAGCATATTTTTCTTGTTTGCCCATTAATTGTCCCGGTTTTGGTGGTATGGGACCTTCCGTAAATCGAATGCTGTTTCATGAGAAAAGCTCTGCGATAGCTCGGAGACGTCTCATTTCGTCCGGAAATCTTTGCTCTGTTCGAATAAACTAATGGTAAAAAGTTCAATTATATTTGTACACAAGAAAGTCAATAAGTACACAGGGGGTAAGTTTTTTTTGGATCACCCTGTACAAGTAAATTTACTTCTGGAGGAAAGACAAGTCCCGGATTCATTACGCCCGCGGAGTACTTGGGCACAAGTACGTTCTTCAGAAGTAGCATCCAATTTAATTCGCTATTTATTCGCTCTAACTGGGATTAAGTGTCCCAATCCCGGTCTATTAAACGCTCTAAAGCTTTGATTGTCATGAAAAAAGGAGGGAAGTGGTTAAGATCATTTTCCGTCCCCAATATTTTTCAAAAATAATTTTTTTCTCAAATTTCAATGAAAGATATATCATTCGATGCAGAATTTCATGTTCCTTACGAATACAAGGTCGAAAGTGGAGTCTTGACCACTTCTTTTAAATATGCAGTTCGATAGAGCAAAAAACACAGTCTACCTGCTGTACCCGCTCGCCTTGAGATGGATTTTTTTGATGTTATGGTTAGACAGACTAGATTGACAAGTATATGGAGTAAGGATAGCTCGGCTAAATCTTCTGAAGTTGATGAGAAAATGAGATTTCACTGTGCAGTGTTTGTCGTGAGAAAGTGAGAAAACCACTGTACCACTGTACTATCTTACGAGGGAAAGTTCTCAGGTGTCGGATTCCGATTTCCTTCGTTCATATGCCGATCGATAGGTCATATGGAGATATGAAAAAGACTAAAAGGATAGCGGCGCAATTTGCTTCCTTCATAAGTTATACACGTTTTTCTAATTTTCCCAGCGGAAAATCCAAGAAATTGAAAAATTCACAACTCCGTCAAATTTTTGAGTATCCACTTGAAACTTTTACACAAGATATCTACCCTAATCTAGTATTCACGCTGAAAGTTTCAGCTTTGAAACATGTTTCATTTCAGAGATATGGAATTTTTCGTGTATCAAGGAATAGCTGTCAGTATTACCTCATCGCTTCGAGAGTTATTTGGGCTTNTCACTGTAAGAAATCCACATTAAGAATATTCTACGTGTTTAAGAAACCCTTAAGATTTGTTTACATAACTAAAATCAGCTGATTAGAAAGAAAAGATAAAGTGTATTTGAGGAATAACCACAGACAGCTGTTTTTCTGTCTCTATCCTTTAAAAAAATGAAACATTCCATATCTCTGAAATGAAACATGTTTCAAAGCTGAAACTTTCAGCGTAAATACTAGATTAGGGTAGATATATTGTGTAAAAGTTTCAAGTGGATACTCAAAAGATTGACGGAGTTATGAATTTTTCAATTTCTTGGATTTTCCGCTGGGAAAATTAGAAAAACGCGTATAACTTATGAAGGAAGCAAACTGCGCCGCTATCCTTTTAGTCTTTTTCATATCTCCATATGACCTATCGATCGGCATATGAACGAAGGAAATCGGAATCCGACACCTGAGAACGTTCCCTCGTTAGCGATATTAATGTCGTTCGAACAATACATCGGTTTGGGCTGAAACTGTCAGATTATTCCTATCTCACTTACTCCTTTTTACTGTACGATTCATTGATATTAAAGATGTGTATGAAAAAGTATGTTAAGTCTAGTTTTGCAAAGTTCGAAAGTTTTCTCAGGCTTAATAAGAAACGTCTTTTACCAAGTATTGATAAAAAGTTTACTGCGGGTTAGTGTAGGATAAAATAGTAATAGATAAACTTAACTCATTGAGATAATTTTAAAAAATCAAGTTTTATTAGAATTTGAAAGTTTTGTTCGACGAGTAACAAACTGTAACTGTAAGGTTAGCAATGATGAAAAATACACGAAGTTTTCTGGGCGTAGAATCTTCAAATACAGACAAACAGAGAGAGAGAAAAAGTACAGAAACAATAAAGTAAACAATTTATGAGTAAGTGATTTTCTCTACTCCGCTATAATTTACAAAATTAGTTGATAACACTATCTACTAACTAATAGTTCGAACGCTAGCGTCATTCTGTTTTGTGTCAGTAGCCGTAGTTTACACCACCGGTGATGGCAATAGCTCATTGTTGGCACCACCGGTGATAGCAATAGCTATTCCGTTTTTTAAAACGGTCAAGGCACAGACACACTGTCTTATTGTTAGCTTAATACTTTTTTCAGTATATTCTCCATCGCAATTATTACACGTAATACTGTAAACTACTCCCGAGATTTTTTTATGCTTTAATATATCTATATTTGGAAAAAATCGTTTAGTTCTGTTGGGTTGTTTAAAAATTACTTTTAATTCGACATTTGAATTGATTTTAGTTACGATAGCTTTAAATTGTCCAGCATATTCGTAGCTACACTAACCAATATATCTTCATGTGTTCAGTTCATGTGTTCGAATCTCTATTCGTACAAAAGCTGACTTTGTGTTTTTCGATAGTTCTAGTTTAGAACACTATAATGGACTATTGTTCCGCTTGTATTCTGACAGAATAAAGCTTATACTAACTGAAAACCAACATCAACGAACTTACTTAGATAACCATTGAGTAAGGTCATATTTCTTATTATGTCGAACTCCTTTTGTAGCCGACGCCAGTTTGTACAAATATGAACAGCTATCTATTCATTAATTAACTTATAGCAGCCTCTTTATATGCTATTAGGACTATGCTACTACATTTGTTTTGAGAAACGTTGCTGTCTTTTTTTCATTAGATCATAGTATCAAACCAATTTATATTCGTGTGTATTAATACGTTTAAAAATGCAATTGTGGAGTTATCTTCTAGTTCCATAGTAAATTTATTCGAAGAATGTAAAGTATTTAATTCTATTAATAAATTATTTATGCTTACATTGTTTAAGGGTGATGTATGTAAAAGCAGTTGAAATTAGTCGGAAATTTGTTGAAAGGTAATCATTCGTATTAAATAATGTGAATATTTAATACGACTGATTGCCTGCATTGAGGAAAAATTGATCAGTCTGTATTCAAATTAAACATGCAGAATTATCAATCTGTACAGTAGCTGTTGGTCTTGAATATGGAACAACATTAGTAAAATGTGCAAAATTTCAGAAATTTGAAGGTATACATAATCGTTTGTGTTATGGCTACCAAAATCCAAAGTTTTTGTCGTCCACAAGAATAAGTTGAATCGGTAAAAGTTTTTCCGTAATTAGCCTCCTTCTGTCTTTTAGTTTTAAGCCAAAATATAAAAACTGTCAGTTATCATCATTAACACATGTTGCTATAGTTGCACATTTATGTGGTTCGGTATGTTATGATTTCAAATGCCTGATGAAGAATGTCAAAAATTGAAAGCGTACAGTAAATTGATCTATTCCTTTCGGGTTTATGGGTACCCACAGAACTCCGGGTCCAAGAAGTTATTTTTTCGTTTGAAACGGGGTCCAAATGCGTGTAAACGACAAAATAATGCAAAGTCGTTTTTTAGCCGTTCAAACGATATACGAACACGTTCCAAGCATCGATTAAACGCGTTTCCATTATTTTGTCGTTTACAAGCGTTTGAACAGTGTTTCAAACGAGGGAAAAAAAATCTCATGGGGAGGGGTGCGATATTGTATTGTATTGTATTTGTTGAAGGTGACGACGATGATATAAATATTGATAACACATTTATTGAAAATGCACGTTCAAAAGTTGATAAATTATTCTTTTTACCATAGATACTTCAGACTCTATCTCAGATTCTACAGGTGTTTGTTCTAAACAGAACAAAATATCAATTACCACAATTATTAAACCAACGGTGTGCAATAAAACAAACAAATGAACAAGTATTTTTGCTTTTTATCTTTTAATACGATTTATTATAGTGCATTAACAGCAAAATCTTCAGATACAGATCCACCAGTATCACATATGATCACGAAGTTTTCTTCAACTCGCACCTAAATGTTACAGGCCTAGGTCTTTCACATAACGTGTAATCATAATCTAAGCGTATATTATTGCATCATCTCGTCACATGTTTAGCCATTTTCATCTGTTTTTAAGTTTTTTAATAAAAGGGGATTCAGCTTCCAGCAACAATCTGGTTAATATTAGCTCCAATTTAGTGAGACCATCGCCCACATTTGGCGACCCTGGCAACTTCTTCACAATTCCTGATCATCTGAAGAAGAAGAACGAACCCAAGCAACATTACACTAGCGATACACTCTAAAAAAAACTCGTAGATTAATAAACTATCAAAAAGGGTTTATTGAGACTAATTAACATTTTAAAAAACGCTTTTCCGTTTTTTATATCCAAACAACTAAAAAGCGTTTTTTAAAAGGTTTATTGGTCTCAATAAACGCTTTTTGATAGTTTATTAATCTATGACTGTTTTTTACAGTGTAGTTGTTATTAGAAACTTATTGAGAGCCGACTAGAAGGTAGACTCATTACTGCATTTACTGTCCTTATTTCGTCCGTGAGAGCCGCTTTATAATGAGACTCATTCATAGTTACTCATACATTAACTCAAAAAAAGAGGTGAGTGTATTTTCTTCCTCTGCGTCTTGTGAATAGAGTTATCGAGGGCTGCTCTCGTTGTGCAATCCATTTCTTGGGTTTGAAATGCTCATTTCGGTTGATCCGTGTTCTTATTCCAACAGAGATCTTTCTTGAAGAACAATTTTTAGATCTCACCGATGAGGAGATCATTGTCGAAATTTTTGAATCGAATGTTTCTCGAAGAAAGATTGTATTGACATCTTACTGCTAGCGACACCATACTTCACGCTTTTTGGACATTGTCATTTTTACAATATCGAGAACCAATCACGCTAGATTTTCTTTTTAAAATATTGCACTATGGTAATAAATATCGGGAAATCAGAATTACTCGTTGGTTTTTCATAATTATTCATAACGGCTTCGGGAACGCGATCGAAAATAAAAGAAACCAGTCAGAGATTAATTTCTTATCATCATATTAGAAATTCCCCATAACTAAATCGATAATCATCATGTAAAGCAATTTGTATTGTTTGTGTGTGTGAAACTTGTGGTTCGTCGTTTACCAAATTTACCGCTAACATCATCAGGTTTCAACATATTTGTGTCCATTATCTCATAGCACTGACGTAACTGCACACGTCTAGATATAGCACAAGGTAAATTGATAAAATTATTACATCGACTCGCTATCTGTTTTAACAGATGATGTTTAGCCTCGTAACGCAAATTCATTTGACGCTCCAGTGGACCATATTTGGCAGTGTTTCGAGCAGCGTGCAGTAGAAAATGGCATTTCGGAATAAACTGACCGAGAAAGATTGTTTGGAATAATTGTACGAATTCGCAAATTGATTCTTCTAGTGTTGACAGCTATGGTTTTCTTGGATAATCACAATATAATATGTCCCATATTTGTCTCAATAGTTCATATAAAAACCAATAGAGAATTCTTTCAATAATATCGAATAAAATGAGTGGTAAATTTAAAAATAAACAATATTTTTCCATCGCTTTACTACACAGATACAGAAAAAAGCAAAGTATGAAGTTTGCGATTGTACTTTGATCGATTTCTATATCCTAATATCTTTTCGTAATTTCTGTACCTCTCCTCCGCTGTCAAACTCTTCCGAATAGCTTAAATACCAAAGGTCGTACTTACCTGCTATCCTTTTATCCAATATATCTTTTTCGTTGAATGACGGTGGTCGATTTCGTTTGTCGTTGAAACTATATGTAAACTTCTTTATTCACTGACATATTTGTACAGCTAAACATAAACATTAGACACAACTGTGTGTACCTCTCCCCCAAATAGACGGCCATCCTATATTAGAAGGCCACCCTCTGTATAAGGCCATGTTCGGACAAAAGTTCAAGCGCCCATGGCCAAAGAAAAGGCCATTCAAAAGGCCATGACCTTCTAATAGGTTTGTCTACATGAATGAATGAGAAAGATAGACAAAATAGTAAAAAATCGAAAGAGTAAACGTCGTCTTGCTACATATTGTCCTCGACCATACGTTCGGCTATATATTCATCATTCCCTTTCTTTCTTCTGTCTCATTTGTATATATGTTCTTTTGCTTTTCTCGTCAGCTGTTATACATACGTTATCTAGTCATCCTTTTCTTGACCTACTCCTTTTTGATCTATATTGTCATTATAAGGAGAAAGGTGAATAGCCTTCTCTCTTTGTTGCTCAGTTATCTTATCCTTTGTCTACTCCTTGTATAGATATCCATGTTTTCCTAATAAAGAGAGTCATTTTGTCACCACTTATCAAATTACACTTTATCTAATTCGCCTTGTTTAGTATTTCTTTTCTGTGATACTTCGAAGTTCTTTTACCATGAACACTGATTGTCATTTGTATACGTTACCATAAACCGAATCGGATGATAATAATGACACAAGTTCGGATGAATCTGACATCGAAGTGGTATCGATGGGTGATGAAACAGGCAATATTGCCATTTCCATCAAGAATGATTTTAATCTCGACGATGATGAGCAAGATAACAACAACGAAGAGTCAACTGATGTTCAACAGTCGAAGTCTTGAATTCAAATGATACTGAACTCGATGAAAATCTAGCTGATCTGAATCCAGATATTGTATCTAACTCAGTGGAGAAGAGTCCATCATGCAAGCGTAAACGCCGACAAAAGTCAACTGCAGAGAAGCTACATGCCGTTGATATGCTGGGAAAAGCTGGTGGTAATAAGCTACTCACGTCAAAAAAGGAAGGTTAGTCAAGATATTATCTCAATGGGCGAAACAAAAAGAAGATCTTATTCAACTATCAAGGCAAAATCATGGTGAATTTTGTTCTTCTACCGATGATGACATCGATCTCTCTTACATCTCTGATTCTTTCTTACTTTGACTGATTATAGGACGCAAACGAAAACGTCTTCCCGGTGCTGGACACAAGCTACAGTAGCCCGAACTCGATAAACTGCTTCTCGAATGGTTCCGCGAACGTCGTTCTGCTCCTGTCATTCACTCAAATGTATCTACAATGACAACATCGATCGTCGTTAAACGAGAAAAAGTAACATTCAACCAATTAAAACGACGTGGCAAACAGGTTTGTATCGAACTCAAGCATGAGCATCCACCATCGACGAAGTGGTATGGTCAATTCATGCGTCGCCATCGTCTCTCCCTGCAAAAACCAAAAAGACAACAGAAGGTGCCACTCAATGAGGCTCATCTACTTGTCAATTCATTCCATTGTCATTACTTAATTTCTTTTTCCAAACTATCCTGTGGAACAGCTTAAACTAATTCATCATCTGCTAAGGAAATTTGCTCCAAAACAGGGCAATCTGGTGCATGCGTATGATTCTGATTATAATACGGACGAAATTCTTTTTGCATATTTCGGGTACGCACGACATTGGACATTTCAAATAGATTAAACTGTCGAAATTCCTCTAAATAATCATCAATCCTGGGAACCGGAAACATGAGCACGGAAAGATGAGCACGGGAAAGTTGAGCACTAGGAAATATGGGCACGACGAAAGTTGAGCAGGAGGAAACTTGAGCACAAATTTACGGTTTATCCATTGAATTTTTTGTATCATAAACAGTTGAAAAAACTTAAGAGAAAGTTAATTTAATCAATTTATTTAATATACTGTTGTCGAAAAGTCATCAATATAGGAATTTTAATAATTTGTTGAAAACACACAGTTGCAAAAATTTAAAATAGAGTTGCTGACAATTTAATCAATATATTATTAGTTAAGATAATTGATGTAAATTCAATATACTATTATATATTCATAACTTTTTTCGCAATTCACTTTCACTTTTCAACTTCACTTCTCAACTCACTGTCTCATTTTTAAAAAAATATGTCTACAGCAACATCTACATCAGTATCATGTACTACTAAACAAAAGCCTCGTCTTGAACTCCAAGGTTTTTCGTAGATAAAAGATCGATTTACTGAAAATAAAACATATTGGCGTTGTATATATTATAATTCTTAAAAATGTCATGCTCGTCTTCATACATGTAATATTACCGATAATGTTATAACTCCACCTTCTGATCATATATGCAAAAGTAATGATATTACAGGTGAACTTCGAAAGTTTAATGAAGATCTTTGGTATCGTACAATGAATACACAGGAAACACCTGATTTAATTATAACACATTGTTGTATCGGAATGTCGGACGAAGCATTAGCTCGTTTACCATCACGTGATAATATTAAACGTCGCATTAGAATGTTACGTCAAGATAAAAAGCTTCCATCATCCCCAAATGATCCTAATTTTCCAAATGTTCCAACAGCTTTAACCGTAACATCTTGTGGTGATAAATTTTTACGTTCTGATACTGGATCAGGTAATACCACCATACAATTATATCTAAGAATTTTTCATTTCATTAATAGAATTGTTGTATTAATAATTAATTTTCCTTTTCAACAGGACCAGATCGAACGTTAATATTTGCCAGTTCTAAACAATTAGATATTTTACAATCATGTGATGATTTTCTTGTTGATGGTACATTTAAAGTATGTATAGAAGTAGATATTTCTTGGGTTTCGGCGGAAATTTCAGTTGAGTGGAGTAAAAGTAAATATTCCTATGTTTAGGTGGTTCCTGAGATTTTTTATCAATTATATGTTGTACATGCCATCTATCGTGGACATGTTGTACCAGTTGTCTATTCATTACTCAGTCGTAAAAATAGTGATACATATCAACGGCTTATAAATGAAATAGTAGAATTTGCTCCATGCTGGTTTCCTGGTTCTATTTTACTTGATTTCGAAAAGGCATGTATTAATGTATATGACAGTAGTTTTGTTAATATATCATTATCTGGTTGTTATGTCCATTTCCGTCAAAATTTTCATCGACAACTTCAGGTAACATTGAAGTAATTTAGTATAAAAATACGTTCGAACAGAATATGCTCGCTCTTCAATGTATAACTTGTTTGTTTTTTGTATATTAGGCATTAGGTTATCAGAATCGTTATCAAGATGTTAAATTTGCTCATAATATTAATAAAATAGCTGCGTTAGCTTTTATTCCACCTTGTGATGTATTACATGCATATTCAAGTCTTGCATTACATCTTGATGATGATTACCAAGATATTTTAAATTATTTTGAAGATACATATATAGGACGACTTCGCCCTAACAATATACGACGTCAACCAACATTTAGTATTGAATTTTGGAATATGCGTACAAGGACAACACAATTATCCACGCGTACAAATAATTCTGTAGAAGCATGGCATCGTCATATAGGATGTATATTTCAATGCGCACATCCTACGCTTTGGTCATTTTTACAAAAACTAATTCATGAAGAACATGCAACACATGCTGTTCATATTGTTCATATAAATAGTGGTGAAACACCAAAACATAAAAGTAAAACAAATGAACGGTTTGAACGACGTCTTTTAAATCTTTTATTGCATCCACATGATGATATTGTTATGCAACTAAATAATATTGCACATAATATTTGCTTATAAAATAAATATTTCTTTCTTTATTGATCATCTAATAAAAAATTTAATATTTCATATAATAGTATATTGAATAAATTGATTAAATTAACTTTCTCTTAAATTTTTTCAACTGTTTTTGATACAAAAAAATTAATGGATAAACTGTAAATTTGTGCTCTTGTTTCTTAGTGCTCAACTTTCTCGTGCCCAATTTTCCTAGTGCCCATATTTCCTACTGCTCAACTTTCCCGTGCTCATCTTTCCGTACTCAAGTTTCTTTGTGCTCATCTTTCACCCGCCCATCAAGCCTACCTCACGCAATGAACTCGTGGTGTCGTTGGAAAATAATATCACATAATTTTTTTATCAATTGTCCATGTGACGAGGATAAGGTTGGCAACCATTGAACTTCAACCAAAATAACTACCGTTGGACAACAAAACGATGGCACTGGAAGAATTTGAATCATTGAAGGTTTTGCTGGATTCGTTGACGGATCTGCTTCTGTGTCCAAAACAAACGATGTTATTCTGCAGGCCCTAATAGTTTCAATCAAGTACTTGATTGCTGACTTCGTTGTCTGGTTGTTGAGGTAATAAATTTGTGGTACGATTTCAACTTTTTGTGTTGTTAATGTAATTGTTGCAAATCGAAATGCTGGATGTTTACGACGTAGGTCTTCATTAAATAATTGTTTTTTACGATCGTAAGACCAAGAATTTTTCGTAATGAATTCATCTACAAGTAGATAAATCAAGAGAAAACATTACTGGTTTCTACAAAATAAATAAAATAATTTATGTTACTAAAATACGTGAAGAATAGATAAATCACGCTAAGAATAAACTACTAGTTATTCTAATACAAAAGAAAGAGTAACTATTACACAATGTAGAGAAGCTAATCGTTAGAAACGAAAAGAGTATCCCGAAGAGGATCCTGCTTTTCTAAAGGCATTAAGCAGGATGCTAATTCGCTAGACATTCTTTTCTATATCCATTGTTTACTTATTGGTCACGTCAAGATAAATCATTGCATACGGTGGTTGTAAAAAACATTGATGTATTTTAAAATGATTTAATTCAGTTTCCAGTAATGCCAATAAAAACTGAGCTTACTTAGCTACTTGTTGGATTAATTTTGAGTATTTTCGAGTACACGATGTAAATCACTAACATGTACTCTTGCTGTTTTGTTTGTGTTGACATCGTCCACCCAATAAACCGGATGTTTAACATTAATGATCTTGGATGGTACTTTTGAATACTTTTCATCCAATTTTGATCTAACACCTTGTACTTTTGTTAGTACTAATTGACCAATTTCATATTTGGGATCTTTTCTTCCTGTATCATATCGAAGCTTTGCCAATCGTTGTTGATGTAACATATTCTGTCGGGCATGTTGATGGTAAAGTTTTAAGGTTTTTTTGAGCTGCTGAAAATAATCAGGCGGTTTGTTAAAATAACCATCGTCCGTGGTTGATCTGGTGGTAACTTTGGATCTTGCCCATATCGTAGTTTAAATGGTGAACATCCAGTTGTGAAATGTTGACCAGTATTATATGCAAATGCCACAGTAGGAAGGAATTCGTCCCAATTGTTTGATTCTTGATTTTGAAGTTTGGCTAATTGCGGGGCGAATGTTGCATTGAATCGCTCAACCATACCATTTGTCTGTGGGTGATATGTTGTTGAATAAATATGATTGTGTCCAAGTAATTGTGATAATGCTGTCATTAACTGGTTCTGGAAATGAGAGCCACAATCTGATACTATCGTTGTCGGTACTCCATATTTACATATATATTCATGAAAAATCGCTTGTGCAGTTTTTGTGTGCTACTATCCGGAAGAGCTACAGTCGTAACCCATCTTGTAAAGTGATTCGTAATACATAATACATACTTATTTTTATTTGGCGCTGTCATAAACGGACCACAATAGTCTATTCCAACGACTTGGAAGGGTCCGGAAGGAGGTGGAATTGAATTTAGATGCCCATGTGGTTTTTCTCTATTGTGATTGTGTTGTTTACATACCAAACATGAATTTACATAATCTTCGATTGTGCTTTGCATGTCTGGCCACCAATATTTAAATTTCATCTTACGGTACGTTCTTTGAGCTGAAAAGTGTGTTGCCGTTGGATGATCATGGTAAGCCAGAAGAGCAGGCTTGATCATTGACGATGATAAATAAATTAATTTTAATTTTGTTCCACCGCGATTTCTAGATAATAGTTTATACAAAATCCCATCCCATATATATGGATGTTGGTTTGAATCGGCCCGGACTTCTGTCACTTTCTGTTGAATCACCGGATCTTCATCTTGTTCTTCTTGCAATGTCGTAACATCGAAATGATCCTGTAACATGTTACTCGTGTTAGATCTATCTAGTGATGATGCAGGCAGAGTTGTGAGTGATTGATCGCCTTGATCCGTTGTTACGAGTTGTTGCGCCTTTGCCATAGCTCGTGTTGTGACACTTATCAGTCCACTAACTGGATGTTTTACCTCGAGGCCGTAGTCCGTATCCGCACTCTATTGATAGATTTTTGAAATCCCCCTTTGATCTTGTAAGCATACACTACTGTTTCTCGCAAATAGCCAGAAACACTAATAATTGAAATAAAACAACGATTCTGTGTTAATTATTATTACAACTTGGCCGGGCCCCCACTTGTTATCACTTAATTTCTTTTTTGACTTCTAGTAGTCGCTCAGCCCGGGTTCTTTAGTTAAGTGTGACAAGAAAACTCTCCCAATATCCTAAACTAAACAAAGTGCCAATTCATTATGTGTAGTATATTTAAAATAATGATGAAAAATACATGTACAAGAATGACAAGAAGTAAGGAGACCAACTAACATTAAATAACAATAATGATAACTCTTCTTGATCTGCTAACCGATGTGACAAATGTTTCCGAAAATGATAAATAAAACATTTTGAATAGATAAAACTTGTACTTGTCGAATATGACGTAAATATTCGTTGCTTCCATCGACGTTTATGAAACATATCGTACATGGATCCACGCGTTTTGTTGACTTCAGGAAGAAAACGAAAAATATCCAGAAATAAAAAAAAAAAGAAAAAAAGAAAACGAAAAATATCCAGGATAAATAAATTAAACATAAAATAATAGAATAATTATCCTCTGAAAAATGTTAAAAAATACAATAGATACCTCTAGCAAAGGACTAAGCTAGTCTTGCCTTTTTTATTCCAAACCAAAAGCTCCAATTCACTGGAAGAAGGATATGACACACACACACACAGTCTCTATCTGCCATAGCTGGCTGTATATATATATATATATATAACATAGAAGGAGAGAGAAAAGAAAGAATGATATATAACAATGAGGACACTATGACAGTGGTGATTTCCTACTGTTAGGTGAAGGTGAGAGAATCTAGGAAAATGTTTCTCTTAAAACGCAAAGAAAAGTTGAGTAAACTGTCATGAAAGAAGAACGTAGTGCAGCACAGAATGCTACAGAAGAAATAAAATTGTTTTATCTCGAGTATCTAAATCAGCATGCGTCTATCCGTCGCCGCCTAAAGAGAGTCGAACAATAAAAATGAATGCAGTGTCTTTATATTTTGGACAGACTGCATAAATCAAACTACATAAATCAACTCGAAACTGCATATCAAAGTTAGTCCATGTCTCGAATTCAACATAACGTGTTTTAAATTCGTGATCAATCACCTTTGTTAAATTTATTTAAACTTAGTAATGAAATACAAGTCATAACAGTCACAATCCAAATGACATTCTATAAAATCTGATTTGATTTTTCGAATTTTTGTAAAATCACAGTAGATTTTCCATTTTTTGAAAAATGAATTTTGCAGAAAATCGAATCGAATTTCTACTTTCTAGAAAATTCTGAATTTTCCATAAAAGTGAAATTAGCCCAGCGATTAATAAAAGTTTGAAAATGCTTGAGTTTTTTCAAAGTCGATTGTCTATAAATTAGAATTTATTTCTATTTTACAGTGTAGGATCCTCAGTATCTTCTATACATGACATTATAGCGCGAGAAAGTGTCTATCGAATGGTATATCTATTGTAGTGGCTACTTGAGAAACATTGATCATAGGATCCTCACCGTGGAATAAGTCACCCGCGTTTCACAGCTTTGCAGAAAGTATTTCTAACGCCAACGGGTCCTAGGACACTTTTTTCACTGTCATATATATATATATATATATGAACTTGTAGCGTGAGAAATTCCCTGTCGATTGGTGTATCTGCCGTAATGGCTAGATGATAAAGGGTGTCACAGATTATCTTAGACTTTTTTTGCACATAGCAGATTATTTTCATAGACGAAAGTATTTCTAAACATACTTGGCCTCAGAACGGCTATTTCCGTATATGTAATATACAGAAATATAGCGAAGAAAAAGAGCTTTCGAATGACATATAATAGTTCTACTGAGGTATGAGGCCGAGAGAGACGCACTCGAAAATATGATGAATAATACGTGTTAGAAGTGATTACAGTTAATTGGACGCAATTTTCTCTGAGAGGATTTCTAAGGTCTGCCGAGTGGCTAGAAATGTTCTCCTGTTCATTCTGCATCTAACCATGTATGTGTTGATGGAGTTCAAGCAGGGACCGATTCCATCAAATAATCGCCCCCATCCTTTGCAGCCCATAAGATATTAAGTCCGTAGTAGCATGCATAAGAGACTTGTGATCGATAGGTACAGAGTTCGAACCTCTGCACGAGCGTGATTTTCTGTTTTTTCTTCTTCTCTGCGATGTGTTTCAGACAAACCTATCTGATGCGGTTCATAAAGTGCGGTCTGTTACTCATCTTGTCTCAGGTTCAGGTGCTGGAAAACATTTCCTTCTCATTAAAAAGTAGGAAATGCACTTTTCACATAAGTTTTGATTTTTAGTAAGGAAGCAAGTGCTTTCCAAACCTGATCCTAGAGACTTTTTGATAAAGAATTTAATTTCTAAATTTTCATCTATAAGGTTCTCGGAAAATGACAAGTTTACCTCGTTAGTTGTTGATTATCAAATCAGTCTGGTGAGTTGGAAGTGGCAATTACTTTGGGGTTTTGCTGAAGAGGGAACCTTTCGGGATTCCAAAGGAATTTCTAAATCCATAATACATTTGTAAATGGCTTTTAATAAACTAAATTCAAGATGTAATGGAATTAAACATCGTGGATCTGTTAGTGCTGTATACAGGATGTAACCACTATTGTACGCAACAGTACTAATAGGAAGTTGTCCATTTTCTTTGAATAAACATGCTTTCACATATAAATACCTAAGAAATGCCTTTTCAAATTTCTCATGTGATTTTATTGAAATATAATACCGTTCGAGTATTCCCAAACTTAATCTTGTTAAAGGACACATATCGTCGAGTTTTTCCGTTGTTATTTCCTTGTATTCCGTGAGAAGATTATTTACATGTCTGTCAATTGTTTGTCTTTGGTCTGATAAATACATCTGAACCTGAGACAAGATGATAACACATTTATGCGGCTTATTATGCTGAGACCCTTAAAAGTCACTCGTAATTCAGAATTAGGATTGTTTTTATGTACAATATGTTTTACTTATCCTGCATATATGTGGCTTGGTTTCTTGACGTATAGTACTTCTATAAAATATATTGTTTTCTTTATTTGTTTTGGTGTTTGATTATTTATAGATGAGGTGTTAGACGAAACTTTTTGTTTTCTATATGACTTGTTCAGCTGATATCCTATAATAGTCTCAACAAACTTCTTTGGATAAACATTTAATGATGTCAGATTTCTAGTTTGATCTAATTCTTTATGCAATAAGTTATGATCCTAACATATTCGAATAGCTCTATTTATTAGCGAACTTACTGCGGCCTTTTTAAATTGGAACTAAACTATCCATCCCATACTACAAATTGATTAATAAAATAAAATAAATTAAGAAATGAATTTAGCTGCAATCGATGATAAAATAGAAACTCCTATGATCCATTCTAATTGATGTTTAGATAAAATATAAATGATTCCATGTTGTTTCTTGCTAATAAAAGATGTGATATGTTCAACAAATATATCTTCTACAATTAAAAATATTTATCTTTTTCAAACGAATTAAAAATATTTAACACAACGATCAGTATTAATAATTATATACTTTCAAATAATTATATTTCAAATAAAATGAAATCTATATGTGTCCTATAATCTATATAGTGCTTCTCATCACTAATTACAGTCTTCTTCTTGAAACAATCAAGAAATCGCGAATAGTATTCCTTGCTGGGAAAAGAACTGATAAAAAATATTATTCAAAAAGTTATGATACCTAATAATCGAGAGTCAGTGAAGCCAAACATATTGTTAAAAAATTAAAAAGCTAGTGAAGTAGGTTTAGTTCTTGCGGCTTGAAATTAATCAATGTAACTGTCAATCAATAAAGGATGACTTTAATTATAACATTGATAACTCATTACCGGAAATATAGAATTTTACTAGTGGCCCTTCCATACTATACGAAACTTTTTCGTCTCTCTTCGATGCTGTAAGTCTGCTGTTAGTATTCAGCGATGAAACGTCTCTGCTCTATGAGAACTGGCATTATATTCAAAAAACTAAACAGATCTAACTATATCAACAGTTGCCGAAAAAAAGCACAGATGGCAAACTACATTCTCGATTATCATAAAAAGAGAAATAAAATACAACAAAACAGAAAATATACTAAAAAATGTTGAATGTATCCAAACAAGCACTGAATGTTTGAGGGTACCCTCCTCTTTCTCACCTTGTTGCCAAATGCGGAGCACACATCCGCTTAAACTCAAATTTGTACCAGAGATAGAAGACCGAAAAATGAAATCGAAGTATTTTTGGTCAGGATTTTGTGACATGATCTTCTATGGGGTTTTCTAGAAAACTCCAATTTACATCCAGTCACATCATGACCCCTCGAAAACATGTTCCGATCGTGTCGAAATGTTCACCACAGATACTCGACGAAAAGCATATTTTTCGAAAAAAAATTTAAGATAGGGTCTAAAGTATCTAAGAAGAAAATTCTGACTCGATCGGAACATATTTTACGAGAGGTCATAATGTGCCTGTATGAAAACTGAAATTTTTCGGAAAACCCATACAAGATCATGTCACAAAATTCGAAGCATAAATGCATCGATTTCTTTTTTCGTTCTTCTGTCTCTGGTATTAATTTGAGCTCGACCGAACGTGCACTCCACATTCGGCAACAAGGTGAATAAAGAGGGAGTACCCTTAACATTATAGAGTTTCACTCAATCAGCGAATAAGCGACACAAGAGAGGTAGACAAAATGATGTGTACAAAATGTTTTACATTTGACTGTTTCCATGAGATCAATATCATTGCAATCTGACAGCTTCTGGAAATTGTCAAATAGACAAAAACAAAAAATTAGCACGTAAGTAAAATCACAACCGGAAATAACACATCATGTAACAAAACCGGTAGAAGAAGAATATTTTTTGACTAGGCACAATCGAGTGTACAACATGCTTTCATTAGATTGAATAGTGATTGCGAAAAAAATGTGAAAACAAAACTGAGTTCGGAAGAATAAAGAGGACTCAAACAGTGTGTCGGAAAGCAGAGTTTGTGCTTAAAGACGCTCTTAAAAGGTCCATAACTTAAAACGAATATCGCTTTTCATATTTACCCCTGACAGAAACCGATATCCGTATCGTACGTCCTGCTTAACTGTTTCACAGAATATGGTTGAACGTGTTTTGCCTTGTGAAGAAACGAATTTAGGTTTTGTACCAGCGAAAAAATGTTCAAGCGTATTCTATGAAACAGTTAAGCATACGGATATCGGCTTCAAGTAGGGGCAAAAGCCGCTACGGATTTTTTTTAGAGAGTAGTATGCAACGAATCGTTTCTGAAAATTCCTTTAACCGTCGTATATTCTTGTTAACCGTTTAATGTCACCATGGCATACAAAACACGTACGAAGTCGTTGGCTACATGGCCTACATAAGGAAACATGACGACATGGGAAGCACAGCATTTCACAAGGCTCAGTCCGACACGATCCACAAATAAATGGCTTGCGCATTGAAGCAGCTGCTATTTCGCCTAGAGAGCACAAAAATACCCGTATCGAAAAATTATGTCTTGTACATGAGCTAAAGGTTTCTTACCATCCTGATTTTTAAACTTTTTCGTTTCTGGCTGTACAATTCTACCCTGTAGCGGTAACACAGATGTTGTTGTTTGCATTCTATGTAAACCTAATAAATAAACTTGTGAAGGTGAAAACGAGAGAAAATGTTCTTCGTTTTCGTTTCTCACCGTCTAAAATCGCTGGTTTTCCTTTCACACGCTTAATATGACGCCGCAGTGCGCTACGAAACGTTGTTGCATCAATGTTGTTGTTTATGTTTACTAGAAAAAGTGGAAAGGAAAGGAGAAAGCTAGTATATATGCAGGTGACTCAAGCACAGCACATATGGGTGCTCTGATATAGTTAACATGATTAACTGAAGGGCTTCACAGTCATGCTTGACTCTTACCTCACTGCTAATGCAAAGAACAGGGCAGAAGGTTCTTTCTTACTTTCTTCTTTTACATTGTTTTCATAATAACGTTTAGTAAATGCTTGTCGATACTGCTCGTTTTTCAAGTGCTCTGGTGCATTTATTATTGAACATGCAGCTAATAGAATTGATTCATTATTCTGATTTTGCGATCTTAACACGTAAAAATAATTGGTACCATTATTATCATCATATACGTTTGGTACGGATATTTTCACAAAATTGTAATCATCATTTGGTAGTGAAGGAGCGGTTACTGATCTATCAGGTTCTAAAAGCCATATGGAAAAGCTTTGATTAACAAGTTTATTTCGTAAAGTGCATTGATTTCTTCTTCCTATACTTTTTTCTTAATGTCTTATAAGACATTCATCTTCTTTTCGTTCGTTTTCCCTCCCTGCAAAATGTTATTATTCTGTTCGGTTCTGTTAGCGAAGCAAAGCACCTTGTCCTTAAATATAAAAATATACCTATTAGAGATCGTGCTGGTCGTACCGGGTCAGAATCATTTAGCTGTTGGGCATATGTACAAGCAGGAAACCAACGAAGGTGGTTGGCGGTTGGATCATGAGTTGGATTCCATTCTGGAGGCGAACTTCCACAACAAAAACATTTAATTTTGCTGTCTTCTTCTGAATAGTAAAAGCCGGCTTTGGCAGCTTCACTAGCATTTGGGAAAGCACCAGCAGGCCATTTAAGAAACGATGCAGTGCGAGCCGACAGACACTTATAAGGTGATATAGAACACTGCATAATACCATAGTAACCGCGTGACACCAATGAACCACTGTCAGAATCGGCTGTTGCTGGAATACTGTTTAACTGAATGTATTTCTTGTAATTTGATACGACATACGGGCAATTGGGCGACAAAGTTTGATGAATAGTCATGGGGTTATCAGATGCCGTAAGATGATCATGTGTTAAATCGCAGTAAAAGCAAACGATTTCTTTACCATTACCACTATAACAAAAGCCCGAATCAATCATTTCCGTCACACAAGGTGCTCCATCCATTGGCCAATTCTTATATGATCTCTCTCGTTGTTTGATAGTTGATTCGAGTTCGATCAATCCGGGTATTTTCATTGTTCCATCTAACATTTGTGTCTGTACACCAGCCGGTTCTATAAGAAAGAAATAGACGGGTGCAGATCAACTGAAGGAAAGTGTACTTCCTGACTTATTCAGAATTAGTAATAAGTTCCATCAGAAATGAGCGAGAGGCGGAGTATAAAACGGCCTCTAACATGAACTCTTCCTTTTTTTTAATACACAGTAAATACATCACCCAAAGCTTACCTTTCCTTTGTCGTTTACGTTTTGATTCACTTTTAGAATCCTTTTTTGTTGGCCCACAGTCATACAACAGCCCAGCGACGTCTTGTGCGCAGTCATCGACGATGTCTCGACCATTTTTGTAGAAACTATTTTCATCTGGTTGACAAGGATCTATACATTCATGCAAATCAGATATAAAAAGCTCATGTCAAGCTTGATAACAAATGAATACGTCTGAACAAAGCACTTAAATAGTCTTAAGCACTTTGGTGCTTAACTGTGATAAAAGTGTTAATAAAGTCAATCTTTTTGGTAGAGAGTGTTTAATAAGATCCATCGATACTGGTGTTACACAAACTAAGCAACAACTAGTTGACCTTGTTATATTCAAAATTACGGAAGATGTTCAATGTTCCAATTAACCGGGAAAAAACCAAGGGGAAAAAGCAGTATTGATACCGAAAAAAATACGACATACCGCTCACATACTCTCAAATATCAAATGAAACTTCTGTTCCCCAAAACATAACAATTCTGTCCTTTTATTCGGAACTTTTCCCCGATAAAGAAACAATTATGTTCTCCGGGAGTTAACAGAACCCTTTTGTTCTGCTTGTGGGAACAGAAATCTGGATTTTTCGAGATCTCCTAGAAAGCTGGTTTTTGAGATCTCAAGAAGTTCTTAAATGAGCTTTTCAAGCAAAAAAAGTTGAGTCATCTTGGAAGAGTAGCGAAAATACCAGTTACATACCGAACAGCTTTTTCCTCCTTGGGAAAAAACACAGCACACACATGAATCATTTCTTCAACATCAAGGAAGAAAAAAAGCACATGCTTCTCTTATCTTATCAAGGTCAAAAGAAGAAAAGAGTAAAATCCTTTTTGGCGCCTTTTTTAAACATTACAGTTCTTCAGTTTATTCTATGATAGCTGTGGGTCTACAAAAATAGATCGATCATGTTCAAACCATTAGTTCTTCTAAAGATTATGTCGTGGTTTTTACTTTGCTAGCGTATAAGTACAGCGTAAGTTTCATACTTTTCAGTGAATATACTTACCATTTGTCAAAAAACTCTGTCCTTTCCGGCTATCATCATGATTCATTGTCACTGAGTTGATCGGTGGTAATGATCTATAAAGGAAAAATTAATTTGGCAAGATAAGGAATAACACGTGTAGATACGATAATAAACTCTAGACAATAAAAACGAAGGCAATGAGAGTAAAATAGACAAGAAAAAAAATTTTTCTTCCTTCACCTTGCCGATGAAAAGTACATAAAAGAAAGAGGAACGAGTTCTTATTGCGGAAAGAAAATGCTTCAGTTGGTCTCTTATGTATTCTATTATTGCTATGAAAAGAAAAAGAAAGAAGAAATATACACACGCCATCATTACTGTTGCTATGCATCATAAGTGGAGAAAAAAGAAGCTTTTTATTACGCCGTCAAATAATATGTGTACTATAGGATTGCATTACCATAAAAAACCTGAGGAAATAGCAAATGACATCATACACTACAGCTTCCTGCTTATCAAAGATATGCCCAAAAACTAAAAAAGCGTAAAACACTGACACTGTACACGCGATTAGAACACTGTTTTAAGTAAAAAGTGTACTGTCGAGTATGCAAGAAATTCTGTTGTCATCTGTTGAGAGTACTATATCACGTGTAAAATAAACATGAAAAGCTTTGCATCAATTGGATTTATTCTTTTTCTCATTCTTTTATAACCCAACACTAGATCTCTTACTGAAGCTGTAAATACTATTTCGAAGCAGAGAACTACATATTGCAATAACATAGATTATGGCAGATGTGGTTGCGAAAGATTGTTGAAAATTGTTTTGTTATAGCTAGCTTCAACTGTAAGCCGACCAGTGCATTTTACAAACGCTTTTTTATGTTTTTTCTCGTGAAAGAATAATGCACCTGGAGAAAACTGTACACATAAGCAGTTCAATGTTCTTATTTTATTGAAAACATAATGAAAAAGTTTCGTTTTCTCACGTTACAAAATTATTGGCTCAAAAACAAGAAAAAGTTTGATGATGTCACAATTTGTGGAAAAGTCAAAAGTTATCAGCAATGAAACAATATGAAAAGCTTTTGAATCCACCATCGCAAGAACGGAAGAAACTGAATAAGACGGGCTTTATTTAATATTCCAGAAATTTGCAAGAGATGCACTCTTGTAGAGAAAACTCTGCTCTAGAATTCTGCACATTTATAACATTTTTCGATGAAACAACGAATCCAAATAGTCCGATTGAGAGAAATCTGGCACGTCGACTGTCTTAAAAAATAGTAATTAAGAAGATCTAAAATTCTTTCGTGGAAATATTAAATAATCCTGTCTTATGAATGCATGCTGTTATATGCATAATCAGTCCAATAAATTCTTCCTAGAAATTTATGGCGTGAACCATCCTGCCATTAAGAAATTTAAAAGAAGTTCTCCTTCGACAAGCAGTTTTTTCTCAAAGACTTTTTGTGAGGTGTGGAATAGTTCTGCCGAAAAGCTGAGAAACCAAATAGTGTAACAAAGACGGCCTTAGACAAAGTATGACTTACGGCCTGGCATCAGTGGAAGCAAAATACTAGAGGACGCTAGTGGCCAGAATATGTGATAATTTTTAAAAGTGCTAATGCCATTTGATTCAAAGCTTCAAAGAGTATGATCTTTTTCACAAAACAGAACAACTTCTACAAAGATTTTTCATTTTTTTTTGGCCTGACATAACTGGCGGTGAATCGTGCCTTTTGCAAAATCGATAAAAAAATTTTCAAATTAGAAGCTTAAAGCTGTGATTGATCGTCAGTTGTTCTGTTACATAGTGTGATAATGAAATTGTGATATTCCTGGCTCGACGTCCTGGAAACAAATATGCACGTATTTTAGTTAGCGTGTCTTTCAGTTATAAACGCAATTAACTAAACGGCAGGACAACTCTTTCGGTTTGAACTTTCCTTGTCCAAAACGAATCTTCTTGGTAAGAAAAGATATTTTGAGATAGATCAATAGTGGCTCTAGGTCCGGACACCGACACATATGGTGCTGCCAAACGAGAGCTAAATCAGTTCCTGATAAATGCAAAACTAGCTCTAAAGTCAAAAGTATCAGTCTGTTTACTATTGACTATTTTCATACATATCACGTTACGGACACAGAGACAAGGAAAAGGTAATTGCACTAATGATGAATTCCAGTAAAGAAAAATGCAGGTTTTTGAAACTGTAGGTTGAAGTTCCCTTTCTATCATTTTTAACCAGTCAAATGTTCTGTATAATATCAAGCGTCTCTTTCAATTTCTTGCCTGAACAAGAGCTCATTGGGCGTAAACATTCTGGAACCAGGTCCTGTTTAAAACTAAAAGTATTTCACTGCACATATGTGTATTGATTTCTACTTGTTGTTTCGGTCGATGAACTGCGCTAATATTTAGCTGCAAGCGAGCTAGGCAACTAATACTAAAAATGTGCGGCTAGCTGAATTGGCCGAAAGTCTTGGCCGACAACTATAGCCATAAATGTGCAAAATAATGTATTAACCTTTGTCTGGCATCTATCAAGTTCCATTGCCCGATTACGGCTGCCATTTTCATGTCTGGTGATGTTAAACACCTTTTCAGCAACAATCAGCCGTCTGATTGCTTATAAGGATTTATTTGCAAATACGTACTTGCTACATTATCTTAAGCCAAAGGCGTTTTCTTCACTGCAACAACCATGATATTTTTGTAAGCAGCATAATCTGTTTCAGCGTTGCTGTTTTGTCTCGTCCCGAATAAGCAATGTGTCTTTAAAAACATGTTAATATATTTCTTTGAGACGATTTAATCATGAACGGTGTAGAAACAAAACAGACATAAAAGAGCGAACAAAATCAGAGTTTTAAAGGTACACTTTCATAAATGAACGAATCTCAGTTCGGCATATTGGGCATAAGTCCAAGGAATGTCCGCATGGGACACAGGTCGCGACATGTCTGCAGGGTATGCACACGAGACATTTCTCGTCTGTAGAACATACGACACATGGATTCCTCGGAGATGGTAGTTCTACTGAAAACCCAGTCTGTGTGCCTACAAAACAAAACAAAAGAAAAACTCATATGGTGTAATAGATAACTTTGTTAACGGTACCCGTATCCTGCGCTGATCCATATTTGATTGCACAGTTAAAGTAAGCCACCGTTCCAGTTTCTTCTGAAAAAATTCACTTAGATTGGGCTTAAAATAATTCAGAGTAAAAAATAACGTTTGTGTATTGGCTTTATTTCAGCTTTATTTCAGCTTTATTTCACGTCTTTCGTTTGCCTGAAATTACACGCTTTAAAAAACATTTTGATTTTTATGTTTTTTTCCCTTCTGCCTACCTTCGCATAAGAAATTTTCTTTCGTTTCTCGTACCAATAGGACATAAAAACAATTTTTCATATCTTCTTCTATCTAGTGTAAACTGCAAAGAATAGAAGTTGTCTCGAACCGTAGAAAAAAAGCATAGAAACTTGTGTGTCATTTTTTGTAGAAAGAGAAAAAGAATGTATTTTATATATTTAGATTACTCATTTTTATTGTTACATGGAACAGAGCTGATAAAAACAACGCGCCATATTCTAATGAGGAATTGTAACTTAGGGAAGCCGTCAAAAATAACAGAATGCGTAGAACGTAGACGTAGACTATATTCTACGCGTGGAAAAATCTATGCGTAGAATTTATTTTTCTACGCGTAGAATATATTTGTCTACGCATTGATA